TCCTCTTTCATATCTGCATGTCTCACCCCTCTTGCATGTCTTTGTCCATATGGCACCTCCTCGTGCAGCCTGCCTTGCCCACCTCATTTTAAAGCATATGGTGTTCTCATGGCATTCGTTATCCTTCTCCACTTCCTCCCATGGCACCTAAAACCAGCCCACATCCTAGATAGTCAGTCTACACATGTACTGTCTCCATCGTCCACGTCCCCACAGAGCTCCGTGACAGTGGAGGCTTCTGTACTGTTTACTGAGGGACACAGTGCATGGAACAGTGTTTCACGTGCAATACAGACTCAAAACATTTTTTATTTATTTTTTTATATTTTATTTATTTCTAGGAGAGAGAGAGAGAGAGAGAGACAGCGTGAGCAGGGGAGGGTCAGAGAGAGAGGGAGACACAGACTCTGAAACAGGTTCCAGGCTCTGAGCTGGCAGTCAGCACAGAGCCTGATGCGGGGCTCGAACCCAGAACCGCGAGATCATGACCTAAGTGAAAGTCAGACGCTTAACCGACTAAGCCACCCAGGTGCCCCTCAAAATATTTTTTAAATGTTTATTTATTTTGAGAGAGCTCACGTGCAAGTGGGGAAGAGGGGAGGGGAGGTCGGGGGAGGGGGACAGAGGATCTGAAGCAGCTTGCAGACTCTAACTCACAAACCATGAGACCATGACCTGACCCGATGTTGGACGCTCAACCCACGGAGCCACCCAGGAGCCCCATCAAAACATGTTTTTAAGTAAATAAGGTGACAATTCTAATTAGTCCAGGTAAACTGATTAGTCGGGAGTCTGTGAGCAAGCATTGCTGAGGTTTGGAGGGTTTGGGTGAGGTAGGCATCATGTGCAGTAGGGGCTCTTCTCAGAGGAGGTGACATTTAAGCTGGTCTTGAAGGCTGAAGAGCAGTTCACAGGTTGGAGAATGTGGACAGGGCTTCAGGCAAAGGGAACAGCATACGCAAAGGCCCAGAGGCCAGCCCTGCAGGGTGCTAGGAATGGCCACCACCTCGCCACCGGCAGAAGGTTGGCCCCTCCTGTTCTCAGCAGGGAGCTGCTGCAGGCACTGGCCAGTAGGGGGCGCATGGGGAGGAGAAGCAGCCACAACAGGGCTCCTGGGCTGTGGCCAGTCCATGTCCCTCTGCCTGCCCCAGGCTGTCCCTCACCCCATGCTCCCATTGCCCACCTCCTGCTCTTCGAGTGTGTCTCACTTGCCTCTCTTGCTGCCTAAGGCCTCCTGACATGCGGCAACCTCTACGGCCCTTGGTTCTGTTATAGCCTCCCTTCTGTGGCCGCCATCAAGAAACCAACTGCACAGCTCAGAAAACAATCCATCATTTTGTCATAACATTTCCATTTCAAAGACTTCCTTTCCAAGTTTCTCTCTCTGGCCGAAGCTTCCTCTTATTAGCATGAGAGGAACTGGCTCGGAACTGAGTGACAGGGGAAGGAGAAGGACCGAGGTGGGGGTGGGAGGGAATAGAGCTGTGAGCTGAGGCCTCTGCCCCTGTGTGTACAGAGACAGAGAGGGGGGTGCTGGGCCAGCACGTGTGCCTGCCTATGTGCGTCTGTGCGTGTCTATGTGCACGCATGTGCACGCTCATGTCCCCATGAACTTGTTTCCCAGCACTCATGATTCATGCTACCAGGCCATAGATTCACCCACAGCATAAACCACCCTTGGGTGCTTGCTCTGCCTCCAAGGTGTACCCAGACCCCCCACCCTGCCTTCCCACCCCCCATTGGGCACTGAGGATTCGGAGGGGAAAGAAGCCCCTGCTGTCCATCAGACATTCAGGCAGAGACCGATGTGTGCGCAAATAACTATAGCAGGACAAATCTGTTGTGAAGATCCCGCTGAGCAATTAGGAAGCTAGAAGAGGAAGTCTAACAGAGGGATGTCACCTCAGGGGACACCTAAACTGATCTTGAAAGATGAGGAGCAATTCATAGGTCAGAGAGAATGGAAAGGAGAAAAACTGGCAAAGGGATGGCATGCACAAAGGCCCTGAGGCCAGCCCTGTAGGGGTTTAGGTGTGGCCATGGCAGCAGACAGATGGCCACACTCCTAGGACAGGAACAAACACAGAGGCTTCCCCAGCTGCAGCTGCGGTTTCTCTGCCTTGACTTTCATCAGCAGACAGTGCAGGTGGGAGAGCGCGGAGCGAGCAGCTCGTGTGTGCGTGTGTGTGTGTGTGTGTGTGTGTGTGTGTGTGTGTGTACAGGAAACTCCGCCCAGCATCGCGGCTCCCCCCCGGCCTCCAGGTGGCCCCTCTTCACAAGCAAGTAACAGAAGTGCTGACAGCCCTCCCAAGGCCCCTTCATCACCTGGCAGACCCCCCAGAGAGCAGGGCCTGGGGCAGAGCCCAGTGTGAGCCCCTTGGCTGAACCTTAAAGCCCTGGAGGCAGTGAGGCCGCCTTCTGTCCTCTTCATTGTCCTGCCACTGGAGGTGACCGTTCCTCAAGGACAGCAAAAATGGGGAGCATTGTGGGCTCAGCAGCAGGAGGGAGAAGATGCAGAGAGGGCCCTGTGGTGGGTGGGTGGGTGGTTGTAAGGATCCAAGAGGAAAGGGGGAGACCAGCAGTGAGCAGTACAACTCTTGAGGACCTCACTGATTGAATTGTTCATTCCTTCATTCATTAATATTATTCATATCAATAATACTCGATAAATGCATTCCATGAGTTAAGTGCCCCAGATATCACCATGAGAGGTCAATGTCTGTCCTCAGGGAGTCCCCAGTAGGTGAGGGAGACAGACAGGGAACAAATGTTAGGAGCACTACGCTAAGGAGAGCACTGGGCATAGGGAGCTCGCAGGAGGGAACCGAACCCAGCCTGGCCAGGAGCATCCTGGAGAGATTTGCACTCAGCTGAGGTTTGAAGGACAAAGAGGTTGGAGTGTGGAGAACATTCTCTGCAGCCAGAAAAATCCCAGGAGGGACTGCCTCACTGTATGGCCACTATCTACCGAGGACAGGGACCAGCACTGGGGTCCAGTGGGCTGGGGCTGGCAGCGGGGGGCCATTCGGTCCAAACCTCCCATTTATGAAAGCCATCATGTATAGACTTTCTACATGATCTCCCACGGAAGTCTGGATGTTTAAAATGCAATTTGCTAAGTGTAAACCATTAAAACATGACACAATTTTTGTGAGCTTGTTCGGCGCTTTTTTTTAATCTACAAGAAGCCTAAAAATAATGAAAGTGGCCCAGTTCTGTCTCACGCTTGGCAAACAGACAGTATTGGTCTTGGATAAGAAAGGAGAGGCTTAGCAAAGTCGCCCAAAGCCAGACTTACTCCCTGACGCCATGCTGTCCTCCGTGACCCTGGAGGACTCAAACACGAAGGTTCAAGGTGCTCTGTTCTTGAAGCCCTGGAATATTTTCCTGTAGTTTCTGCCCCAACCCACCGCAGACTCCTCAGCTCACCTGGGACTGTAGCCTGAGCCCTTCCTCTTCCACCTAAGCCCTCCCAGCCCAATCCTGCGCCTTCCCTGCCAGAGGTCACCTGGCCAGTGTTGGCTGCTGGGCCACAGACCCACAAAGGCACTGGGGACAGCATTTCCACTGCCCTGGATCCCTTATCTTCTTTGTCTTTGCATACAGCTGAGAAAGACCCCAAGAGGTGGCCCCAGGGGATCCTGTTAATAGGATTGCCAGGCTCTTGGCTCCCAATAGAAGCCCCTCCCTCCACTCCTCTTCCTCCTTTGGGAAGTGTCCTGGCCAAATCTGTAGCTTCAAGCTCTCCGAGACTGCTGCATGACTCACCTGCTGCTCAGGGCAAGCGTGGTCAGGATAAGGGGGGATGAGACCTAGATACTAACCTGGCCCCAGCTCCCTCTCCATGCCTTCCGCGAGTTCAGCTACTATAAAGTGTGACTTGAAGCCCAATCACAAAATGGGGGACCATACTGGCTGTGGTTTAGAAAACAGAAGGCTGATCAATTACACCGCCTCCTGTTGGGAGACCGCAGAGAGAAGGGTCACAAAGAAAAAGGAAGGAGCATTCAGGGAGCAAATGTGTGCAGATCAGAAGAGCACCGTGTGGGGAGCCCACCAAGGGGCTCTGAGCGCTGAAATCCCCCCAAGAATCTTGTCTGCCTGACCCGCATATGGTCACAAGGTGCATAAGTGAGAAAACCTCTTAAATCCCCCTGAACCTCTTTGTTCTAACCCTCTGGTATCTGTATTTCCTCTGTGGCCTCTGTTTCCAGAAAGGAGCTGAAGGAACCTGGGAACTGTTCATTGACCTGTCGCTAGGGTCCTGGCTGAGCACTAGGGGGCCACACCGAGCACTGGTAGCCTCCGCCCTTGAACGTGGATCTGCCCCAGGGATGGAACCACTCTCCATGTGCTGGTGAGTCAGGTTTAGAGCCTCTAAGACAGGCTGGGACTCTCAGCTGTGGTTCTTCCCCAAAAGTAATGGTAACGTCAGGACCCTCAGATCTTCCCCGGAGCCTTCTGTCTACTCCACTGTGTTCTTCAAAATGTCCCAAAGCCCTTTTCTTAATAGACTTAGAGCCTTTCTCTCCCTGGGCCAGTGTTCTCTACTCAGCCCCACACCCCAAGCCCTTGCTCCTCTGGTACAAGCCTCGTCCCGCAAAAGTCTCCCCTACTGTAGCTTTTGCCCAGAAAGATCTGGAGTGAGAGAACAGAAAGGTAAGACACGTCTTGGTTTCACCTGACCTAAGCTTGAGGTGGTCAATTCCCTTGTGAAAGTCTCCGCCCGCCAACAGTGTCCCGAAGCCTCCCATACCCATGTAGCCCCGGTGCTGCCCGACGTACCACGTGACAGCCACTCCCCACCCCCATAACAGTGCAGGGCTTTGGCCCACAGAAGCCACACTTTGCAGAGATATGTATTTATTGAGAACCTTCTGCCAGAAAACTTTAGCCATATGTGTGCATGTGTGCGTGTGCATGTGTGCGTGTGCATGTGTGTGTGTGCACATGCATGTGTGTTTAGGGCATGCGTGCGTGTTCCACAGTCAGCACTGCAATCAGATGGCCTTGGCCAGCCCCAAGCGGTTGTTGATCCTGTCAAAGACGCTGTAATACTCCCGGATGAAGACATCTCCCAGGATCCACAGTGGGTCATCACCTTGACCCTGGAAGCCACTGGAGCAGAAGCCCAGATCCTGGGAAGGACAAGGCTGAGATGAAGCTGGTCCCAACCACAGCCACCGTGTTTGAGGGTAAGCCTCGCCTACCACACCCCACAATTCCTCTCTCAGCGTATTTCCTTTCCTCCTTGAAATCACCCTCTTAGGTGATTTCAGATTCAGCTCGCTCAACAGGTGAAGAAACTGATACTCAGAACATCAGGTAACCTAATGCAAGATCACCCGGCGGGGTCCCCTGACCCTACTCCTCCTCACAACCCTTCTCTTAGCACCTACTGCCCGAGGACCAGCCAGACCAGGCTGGGGGGCCCAAGGCCTTACCAGTTGTATATACTCAGGGCTAGGTCAAAGCTGAGGCCAGTGGCTCAGGGGGACAAAGGCTGGGTGCCCACAAAGCCAGGGACAAAAATCCCAGACAAAGCTCCAGAGCCCTGGACTTAGAAGGTTCCCACGGGGGCTGTGGTCCTGCCTTCCCCGCCCTCCCTCAAGCCCTGGGCTCTGTCCACCCTTTGTCTCCTGGGATGTGGCTCTAGCACCCTCAGGTGGGGCCCACTCAGAAAGGCCAGTGGGTTCTCCATCTGGGCCGCGCCACCAGACAAGTTCGCTGACTTGCCAGGAGAGAGAAGGGGTGCCCGGGGACCCCAGGCTCCCTCTCCTGAGACTCATACCTGGCTGGTGTAGGCAGAGGGGGGCAGTGGGTACTTTCTGCCGTTGATCTCAAAGACCACCGTCGGCATGCTGCTTAGCTGTCCGCAGTTGATGTCATACTAAAGACCAGACAGAGGTCCTCTTAGATGGGCAATGGGTGGGATCTGGCTGCGACAGGCAGAGAAGGGTCGAGGCAGGACCCCTTCCTCTGCACTGGAGCCAAGGGGGCAGAGAGGGGGAGGCCTGCCCACCCAGAGAACTCTAGGGAGGTTCTCTCTCAGGCCTCAAAAGAGTCACATTGAGAGGGACCTACTGTCAGTCAGCGCAGGGACAGACCCCAGCTTGAGAGAGAGGGACTGGCCTCATTGTTTCCCTTCTAGGCTCAGCCAGAGCTCCCCAGGACACTGGGAGCTCTTAGCTGTCAGGGAGGAAGCAGAGAGCCCTGTGGGTTGGTGGAGGAACAAGGGGTTACAGCAGAGCTCAGGGACCCATGACCCTCCCAGGGAACAGGGAGACAGGAGAGCCCCAACAGCAATGGTGGGCAGAGCTGGAAGGCCAGCCCCTCCGGGGAAAATGGGCGTGGCCTCACCATGCCAAACTGGTCTGGTGTGGCTCCAATGGCCGTCTGTATGTTGAGGATGTCGCTGCTAGGCCCAACCAGCATGGAGGTCCCTGTGTCCAGGATCGCCTGACAGCCACCATGACAGGCCACCACCACGCCGTTGACGGTAACCCTGCAGAGTGGAAACAGGACAGGCTCGCAGCACGTCCAGCATCCAGCCCTCCTTCCCAGCGTCCCATCCCTCTTCCCTTGCCAGGATCCTCAGGCAGCGCACAAGCCCAAGCACCCCTCCCTGAGCTCATAGAAATGACCTAAAACCATTTTCTCCCAAGTCGTTAGCTAAATGAAGGCTGCCCCACCTTGTGTGGCACAGAAATGTCAAAAACAGAAAAGTCACACGGCAAGACTTTGGAATCAGTGGTGGAATGAGTCCCTCACGAGTTGCGTAAAGATCTGGTTTCAGATGGTCTCCCTGCCATTCACTTGCTGCAAGTCATGTGCAAGTCATCCAACCTTCCTGAACTCGGGCTTCTCATCCACAAAATGGGTATAGTAACAACCCCTTCCTTGACTTCCTCAAGGGATGGTCATGAGGTTCAGACCTGATGTCAGCAAATTATAAGATGAGGATTGTTAGCAGCATCACCTCATAGGGATTTAGTGAGGAATAAACGAGCCGGTCCTATTATCATTCATCCCAATGCCTAGCAGCTAGTAAGTGCTCAATTAATGCAGCACTCTTCAGACTAAAGCATCAGTGAATGTTTGGCATGCTCACCGGCAAAGACCTTGGCCTTGCAAGTGTCTAATTCAGAACCGGATGTGATGGTTTTACAAGCTACTATGTGCGGTCCTTCTCTGAGCCTCCCGGGCTGATCCCCAGGCCCTCCCGTCCCCACACCTGAGTCAGCCGGTGGCTGGGGCCCGGGACTGCGGCTCACCCACCTGTCCACGGTGAACTGCCAGTACTCCTGCACGGTCACGGGTACCCAGTGCAGGGAGCCTGTGTAATAGGAGGGGTCGATGGCTCCCAGCGTAAGCATGCTCCCAGGGCCATTCCTGAAATCAAGGAAATTGGTGAGGAGGCGCCGCTGCCCCACACAGGGGCAGATGTCGCCGAGACCCCACCCTGTTGTCCTTCCTGTCCTGACCCCCACCTCCCGCCCGCAGGCCTCAGATGAGCTCTCCGGGCCTCCCTGCTCTTCGGGGCTTTTCCCTGATGATGGCTGCAGCATCCTCTCCCTCTCTGAGCTCTGCAGCCCCCCCAACTGCCTCCCGAGGGGAGGTCAGGGAATGACCACCACGCAGGTCACATGACCACCGGGCTCTGCTCAGGTCACCCTCAGGGGGTCACCCTGTGCCCACTCCCTGCCCCCAGCCCTTTGGCTACAAGAAGGAGAGAGGGTCTTCAAGGAGGTCCCACATACTCTGAGGCTTTTGTCCCAGCCAGGAGACATGGGCACAGTGCAGTGTCACTGAATTCCCACTCTGCTGCTTTTTTTTTTTAATGTTTATTTATTTTTGACAGAACCAGAGACAGAACGTGAGCGGAGGAGGGGCAGAGGGACAGGGAGACACAGAATCCAAAGCAGGCTCCAGGCTCTGCACTGTCAGCACACAGCCTGATATGGGGCTCGAACTCACGAACCGTGAGATCATGACCTGAGCCGACGCTTAACCGACTGAGCCACGCAGGTACTGCCCCCCACCCCCACCCTGCATTCTGCAACTTTTAGTTCCTAGACCTCAGCAAGCTCTGTCTCATCCCTGGGTGCTAGCACATGCTGTCCCCACTGCCTGAAGTGTGCTGTCCTCTGTCTCACCTGGTGGCTCACCCTGTACATGCACCTCAGTCACACTGGGCTTCCCTGTCATTACCAAGCCTTCACCGCACCCAGGTGTGCCCTGCAGTGAGTGCACTTATCCCAACTGTAATCATAAAGGCGTAATTACGTAATGTTCCCCCTGCTAAAAGTTAAACCCTCAGTTTATGTTGTTTGAGCATGTATCCCCTTCTTCTGGCCTAGCACCTGCACGTAGTAACAGACCACAGATAGGTATTGAGTGAATGAATGAATGAATGAATGCACCAATTTACCCCCTGTCTGGGTTACCTTGACCTCAGTGGTCCAGCACCTTCCTTCTCCCCGGTGTGGTGTCCTTCTTCCCATCCTGCTACCTGCCTTTCTGTCCAACTGAGCTGCCCCATCACAGGGTCAGAAGACAAAGGAGGGAGCACTGGACTGAGAGTCAGGATCTCTAGGCCCCAGGTGTGACTTAGCCACTAGTTCCTGGGGTGATGGTCCCTTCCAGGCCTCAGTTTCCTGCACTGTGAAAGGAGAAGATTGGACTCCATTGGAGCCTACTCTAAAAGTCTGGGGGCGCCTGGGTGGCTCAGTCAGTTGAGCGTCGACTTTGGCTCAGGTCACGATCTCCCCGTTCATGGGTTCAAGCCCGGCATCAGGCTCTGTGCTGACATTTCAGAGCCTGGAGCCTGCTTCAGATTCTATGTCTCCCTCTCTCTCTGCCCCTCTTCCACTTGTTCTCTGTCTCTCTGTCTCTCTCTCAAAAATAAAATAAGCATTAAAAATAATTTTTAATAAATTAAAATAAAAATAAATAAAAGTCTGTGAATCCCAGTGACACCCACAAATGACTATGGAGGCCTGGCCGCTTTGGAAAAAAGATGTTAAATGCTCCCATGCAGAGATGGGGTCAGGCTTCATTTTTTTAAATGCTAGAAACCAAAGTCAAATGTGGGTCCGGGGGACTCTGCCTATATCGATGGCTATGTCGGGGGCCTTCAGACAAGAACTTGAGTCTGCTTGGAAACAAGCAGAGGTCTGCTTGGATTCTGGACACTACTCTCGGGTTGCAGAGTCCCAAAGGGGTGGGTATTCCTCAGCCGACACACCTCGCCAGGCCATGGAAGCCTAGCCCTGCCTGGGGACTGCTCCTACCTGTCCAAGTAAACAGAGAACAGGTCTTTGGCCACCAGGTGCTTCTGCATCATGTTGTCAAACACGGGCACTGAGTACGGGGAAGCCAGAGAGGGGTAGGCCAGCCCCAGGATCCCATCGAACTCAGAGTAGGTAAAGACGATGCCAGGTTCCTGGGTGCTCAGGCCCACAGTCTGCTGGGTGTCCATGATGGAAGAGACCTGTAAGAGAAGCAGAGTGACCTCCATCAAGGGCCCTTCGGCCAGAGGCAGGAAGATCCCAGGGCAGGCCGGCATCAAGATCAGCCCTGGGGCCCGCCCTCCCTCCTCCAGGCAAGGTAAGTATGTGAGCGTAAGAAAGAAAAGACCCCCTTCCCAGCTCTGCATCCTGGTTTTGAGGGAATTGGTCCAAGGAGGCCAGGAACGGAGGAAGAGGCTCTGGGCCCCGCTGCCTGGCACCGACTCTCAGGGATGCCTGAGCTGGGCAGACACCTGATTGTGGGAGAAGCTGAGGACAGGGCTGTCAACAGGGAAGAGCCGTGTCCATTTTTCAGCTCAGAGCAAAAGAGCCTTCGGCCAGACCCAGAAAGAACTCAAGGAAGATAGAGGTGATAAGCACGAGGGACACTGCTTGATCTTGGGTAGTGGGTGAGGACGGAGAGAAGGATGCTAATGTGTAGTGGGCACCTGCTGTGTGCCTACCACCGTGTTGCGAACTTTACAAGCCACAAAGTGGCAAAAGAAAGGGGAATCTTCGTCCAGAGGGCACAGATGCCCTGTGACGTGAAAAAAGATGCTGTTCAATGATGACACGTGGGTAGGGGCCTCGCCTTCCAGGGCGACTGAGCGAGGCCAAGCCAAGGGCACTGCTCAGAGACTCGGAGGCAGGGCTCTGATGCTCAGCTCCCAGCCGCCAGCTGGTGACAGAAGCGTGACTTCGGGCAAGTCACCAACTCATCCAAGCTTCCGTTTCCTCATCTGAACAATGGGGATAATAGCATCTTCCTGAGAACATTTCCGGTGAGATCGCACAGGTGACACTGAAGAGAGCTCAGCGCCGATCAGGCAGTTGGACACTGGGCATGGAGAAGCCTCTTGGGAGGACTCTGGGGGCTGGCGTGGGAAGGGGAGGAGGGTGGGGAGGAGGCGAGCCACAGCAGCAGCTGGCTAAAATCCCTCTCAGCATCCGCCCCCCAGGCCACCCGGGGGTGGAGGTGGGGTGGGATCCAGAAGATCTCTCAGCCACAGCTGGAAGCACAGCCCACCAGAGCCAAGGTGGTGAAGCGGCTGGTAGGGAGGGAAAGGTGAGCACCTGGTGACCCAAAGCCCCACTCACTCTGACAGTATCGAGCCCCAGAAAGCCTTGCATGCTGCCTGTGCCATACTGGATGGACAGGGGCTCATCCAGGTTCTGGAAGGTGGAGGACTTGGCTGGGTCAAAGCGATGATGGTTTTCTGAAACACAGACCCAGGGTTAGTGAGGCTCATAGAATCTTCTCGCCCGCGGACGATGTCAGGCAGGGCTGAGACCCTCACCAGGCCTTGTGAGAATATGGTCTAAATACTAACCATTCTCTCTCCTGAAAATAAGCAGCCCATTCTCTCTTGATCCCACAGAGTTTAGTAAAGAAAATTATTCTTTGCTGCTCAACCCACCTCTCTGACCTCGGGGGCTCCCTGTGTAGCTTCTGAACAAAACAGGAAAGAAAAAAACCATCCCTGTGGTTTCCATGGACATTTTCCTTTTTCCAGCTTTGTAATCTTAGGCAAGACTCTTTTCTTCTCTGAAATTTGTTTTCCCCCTCTGGTAAATAGGGGTAGAGAGAGCACCAGTCTCTCAGGATTGTTGAAGGACCAAATTATTAACATGTATTAAATGTTTACTCATCATCGGCAATAAGACCCTCTCACTTTATTCTTCAGTCACCCATCGGCAAATAATAGCCCCATTTTAGAGAAAGGAAAACTGAGGACCCCCAGAGGGTCAGCAGCTTGCCTTGGCTCCTGATGGAGGCTAAATAAATAAATAAATAAATAAACTGCCCAAACTTCCTAATTTCCAGCAGGTGCTTTATACATTAGACCTGTGATTTGCATGCCTTCCCAATCCATGGCCAGTTGGGAGGGCCGAGCAAGGAAATGGGCACAACTGGGAGGCTGGGAACGTCAAAGCAAGCTCTCATGCACCCACGGTCCTCCCACCCAGCGACCCCGACCATGGCTGGCAGAGGGGCCCTGGCGTCCGAGCCTGGAGAGGCGGGCCAGAAAGGGAGGTCACTCACGGCAGGCAGAACTCTTGCAGTAGACAGAGGGCACCCAGAGGTCCGAGGAACCGGTGTCAAACACCACGGTGAATTCCTGGGGTGGGGTCCCGATGTAGATCTTCCCAAAGTACTGACACTGGGGACAGACAGCACCGGCTCAGGGGTGGGGAGCACAGCATAGGGGTGAGTGTCGATGCTTGGCACCAAGGAAAGGGGCTAAGGGGAATGAGGGTCCCTGGGGAGGGTTCTTCACCTCCAGCCGCCACGCTGGCACCCACCCCAGCCATGCTCGCCTGGCGCCTCCCACAAGCCCTATGACCACTGCTGGAAGCAGACATTAGATCAAAATGTAGGCCCTTCTTGGTAGGAAGATGGGTCCCCCCGCCAGGGGCAGGGACATAGAGATGGGGCACCCGCAAGGTATGGACCCCCGAGTCCCAACTCAAGCTGCCCGTGCCATGCCTCCTTGCCGCCAGCCTCTCCATGTGTCAAAACTAGGGCCCCGGGTGGGGGCGAGCGTGACCTAGATAAGGAAATGAGAGCACAGGAGACAAAAGGCTGACTGTTTACTGCAGTGACAGATGACAGATGAGGGAGAGACAGGCTCCAGAAAGGACACAGACACAAGGGGTGTACCTGTCATGTCCTAGGTGGCTGCAGATGGGTACATGTGCCCCTTCCCTGCCCAGCCCCCACTAGGACATGGGTTTCCTGGGCTGGGAAAGACAGGCATGGAGGTGCACCTGGGAGCAGATTATGTACCCTCAAGGGATGCTGTCTGCAGGTTGCCTGAGCTCAGACCCTTCTGGTGGTGACATTCAGAGCCCTGCCTTTGCCAGGTCCGCTGGCCCGAGCTGACTGACGGCAGAGCTCACTGAGGCGCAGGGAGATGGCCTCCACAGTCCACAGGGCTCCATGATTCCTCAAAGTGGGAAAGAGGCAGGGGCCGGGAAGGGGCGTCCATCACACTCTGCGTGAGAAGCAGAGGAAGGGGGGGCGGAGCCACTTACGTCCAGGTAGTTGGTCAAGGCCTCGTTGGACACCTTGGCTAAGTTGGAGTACTTCTTGGTGATGGCATATGGGTGTGTCTTCAGAAAGTCCTCCAGGAGCCCACGCTCTTTCAAGGCCTTCCTCAGCGACTTGCCTTTGTGCAGAGGGACCCTGAGGAGACGGGGGAGAATTCGTGATGCCGGTGGGCATCTCCCCAAGGCTGCCTGGCCTCTGAGAAGTGCCCAGAGGCTCTGGGTTCTGTGAGCTACTCCTCCACAAGAAGCTCCGAGCACCATGGAAACCCCCACTCCCCCAGGGCTGCCCCCAGTCCGTGCACTGAGCCCACCCCGATGCCTGGCACTCAAAAGAACTTCACTTTCAGGGCCATAAGGAACTCTGACTGGTCAAAGCCACCCTGGCTCCTTTTTTAGGGATCCGACTTCTCAGGGATGGATTCAGGCTTCCCCAGCCTCGGGGCTTGATAACAGGGCTCAAACCTGGGAGCCAGAGAGAGCATGGTTTTGTGGTAAGAGTGCAAGTCCACGTGGGACCAAGTCCTAACTCCTCCATCATGAACCACGTAGCCTTGTGTAACTCAGGGATCCTCCCTGAACAACAGCTTCCTCATCTGTAAAATGTAAATACTACTATCTACCTAATCTGGGAGGCTTAGCGACAGCCCAGGTAAAGATCTAGTTGAGTGTCTGGCACCTAGTAGCAAGCAGCTCAAGAAATATCAGTTATGGGGCACCCGGCTGGCTCAGTCAGGAGAGTGTGTGACTCTTGATCTCCGGGTTGTGAGTTTGAGCCCCACATTGGGTGTAGAGATTACTTTTAAAAAATCATTTGCAAAAAGGGTCTAAAAAAAAAAAAGAAATATCAGTTATAATTTTTGGAAGAGAATTTGGGAACTTCTTCCCCAGAGAGAGATTTGTTTTGTTGAAGAAATGCACACATAGCTCTTCTCACGTGCCAGACTGTTCAAAGCACTTTACCAAAACCGACTCATACAGCCCTCACGACAGCCCTGTGAGAAGGGTGCTTTCTTTACCCTAGTTTTATAGCAGAACAGGAAGCAGGGCACAGGGGGTCAGGTTAGTGACAGAGCTAGGGATCAAACCGCAGGCCGTTTGACTCCAGAAACCGTGCCCTTAGTCTCGCAGGCTGCCCCCTCTGACCCCCTGTTCTTGCTCACTGCGCCCCGGGTGGCAGGGCGCACTTAGAGGAGAGGGTCCCAGATGCCAAGGCGAGACCGGTGGGGTGCTTCCCCTGGGAGCCTGTCCTCGGATGATTCCCCAGGGCAAGGAGCGGGAGCCTAGCAGAGACCCACCCGGAGCAGAGACGCATGACGCCCTTCCCCACACCGTCGCCCCGGGGCCTGACACCCACCTGGTGACCCCGCTGCCCTGGGAGAGAGCCAGGAGGGCAAGTAGCACCACGAGACACTTCATCCTGGACCGCGGGCTGGCCACTGCTGGAGCCAGGGCCCATTCCCATAGCCTTTATAGAGCGAGCGGCAGTCCCGCTGGCTGGTAGCCCGGGCTGCGGAGATAACCCCCCAACTTTGGACTGCTCCCCAAACACATTAAGTTAGCACCCAGAGTACATAACCCCCACTCTGATAAGGGCCATGAATTCCACCCCTGCAGGGACTTCAAAGTGGAAGGGTACACGTGCTGGGAGTGTCACATAGGCCTCCCCGACCTGACCCCCCAGCCCCCTCCACGCAGGACTTCTCCAGCTAACACGGGCGAGTCCACCACTGGAAACCTGTGTCACGGTCTATAAAGAGGTGTCTTCGAAGCAGCCCCCTGCCCTGTCCTAGCAGCCTCTCCTGCCTGGGCCTGGCTTCACAGAGAGCCAGCAGCCTGCCCTGCCCGGGACCCTCCAGCTCAGGTCTCCCAGCCCTGTGTTCCAGGGAGCACTCGGGCTACTGCCGAGGCACAGGGTGCTTCTCCCGCCTGCCCCCACCCCCACCCCGGTCTGAGAGAGATGGCAGGCCCAACTCCTGCATTCTCGGGGCCGTGGCCCCTGGTTCCGTGTTACAAGGGTGGTTAGAAGGGTGTTGGGAAGGGCGGGGTAGGTGCCGGATCCCCTGAGCAACGGGGAGGGCAGGTGAGGGTGAGCAGGGAAGGCAGAGGGAGGGAGGAAGATGTGGCGTGATGGCCAGGTGTAGGCAACAGGTTAGGCCAAGGGCCGCACCCTAGTCCCACACAGAGGCCTGGGAAGAGCTTCTCGGAAGCACACGTGTGGGCTTTGTGATGAGTGGAGGGCCCCCGAGAGAGAATTAGGGCCAAAGGAAAACAGAGACTCAGCCACAGAAGCGGTAGAGAAGACCACATCTTGGGGCGAGGGGAGGCTGTAAACTGGAAAGTCAGGGTCAAGTCAGAATAAGGCAGGGACCTTGGGGCCCCAGGTGTGCAGGAGCGTGTAGGGCCAGCTGCCAACACCCTCCAGGAGGGGCATCAGGGTAGCAAGGGAGGCCTGGCAGGGGATGGAACAGAGAGGGCAGGCTGGGTACCCAGAGAGGCGGGCATGCGGTGGGCCCTGGACACAGGGGCAGGCTCAGGGAGACAGACGTGGAAGCTTCCTGTATTTGACTTGACGGCCTCAGGAGGCCCATCAGCAGGGAAACTGAGGGTGTGGAAGGAGTTAGGAAGACAGCCAGGTGTGATCCCTCCCATGAGATGCCACACCCAGCCATCCACATCCCTGCTCAGAAAGCCAGGACTTGCTGCCCCCTGGGCCCCAGGTCATGATCATGAGCACATCCAGCTGTCCTTTCATCCCAAAAACTGGGGAAGCAGAGAGAAAAAACCCTGCTCAACGTGTTTCCTGTTTCTTCCCTGAAGACATTTGCCCCGTGTCCTGCCCCAGTGGCCCTGCCTCCAGTGGTCTTTCCTCCCTGCCACCAGCACGAGCATGAGGCACGGGAGAGGCCCACCAAATGTTTGGTTAAGCAAGTGAGTTAATGAATGGCCTTCCTACCCTTCTTGAGGCACAGCAGGCCATGTCTTTATTATGAGCTACAGAGGAGGAGATGGAGACTCAGAGAGGTTGATGACTTGTCCCTGTTGAAGGAGCTTGAACTGTCATGAGGTCCCTGGTCTGACACACTACGCACTGCCCCACAGGGCCCGGGATGCTGTGGGATCTCCATGAACTTACAATATCTTGTCTGGACCAGCGCTGCTCCTAGCTCACTTCTGCTGACCTCCCGATACCCCTCAGGACAGCCATGCCTGTGCGCAGCATCTGGGGCTGGGACCCTCCACTGTAGCACTCTGCTCTGCGTCACCAGGGGCCCGGCCCGGCCCAGGGGCAGACGCTCCTGGACAATGAGTGTGAGAAGTCAGGCTCAGCCATCCCTCCCTTTGGAAGGTGACCCTCAAAGCCAAAACCAAAGCTCCCTTAGCACTGGTCGCTTCATGTTTACTCACAAGATTGAGATAATTCTAACAGTACTCAAGTGCACGCTATCAGAAAGGCTGCCCCCGATCGCACAGAGCGTTAGAACTGCTTATCCCTGGGTGCTGGCCAAGAATTGCAAAAAGCTTTTAGAAAAACCATGATAAGATTTCATCATTGGCTACACAGTCCCAGGCAGGGGCAACTCCCCTTGATCTAGATTCTTTTCTTTTTTTTAATGTTTATTATTTATTTTGAAAGAGAGAGAGAGAAAGCACACATAGGGGAGGGACAAAGAGAAAGAATCCCAAGTAGGCTCTGCACTGTCAGTATTGAGCCTGATGCGGGGCTTGAACTCACAAACTATGAGATCATGAGGCAAAATCAAGAATCAGATGCTTGGGGCGCCTGGGTGGCTTAGTCGGTTAAGCGTCCGACTTTCCGACTTTCGCTTAGGTCATGATCTCGCGGTTCGTGGGTTCGAGCCCCGCGTCGGGCTCTGTGCTGACTGCCAGCTCAGAGCCTGGAGCCTGTTTCAGTCTGTGACTCCCTCTCTCTCTGACCCTCCCCTGCTCACGCTGATTCTCTCTCCTAGAAATAAATAAAACATTTAAAAAAAAATTAAAAAAAAAAAAAAAAGAATCGGATGCTTAACTGACTGAGACAGCCGGGCTCCCCCCACCTTGATCTAGATTCTTTGTGCCTGGGGACTAAACAACAAAGGAGCCTGGAGCCTGCTTCAGATTGTATCTCCCTTTCTCTGCCCCTCTCTGGTTCGTGCTCTGTCTCTCTCTCTCTCTCTCTCTCAAAAATAAATAAACATTAAAAACGTTTTTTTAATTTAAAATACATCCATTTTACAGATGAATAAATAGGAGCTTAGAAAGCTCAACCAATCTTCCAAGTCACTCAGCTATTAACAAGGTGGATCTGGGATCCAAACTTGGGTCTGTTTGGTTCTTGACTGCACATCCTCTGAGTCTGACCACATGGCTCTCACAGCACCAAAATTCCAAACGTCAGCAAAGATGGCCACATTGTGTCCACAGAAGCCTCAGGCTGAAGATGCAGGGGTCCTGGGGTCTTTAAAGCAGGACAGGGGAAGAGCAAAGGCTCAACTAGGAGCTGAGAGGGTAGAGACCTGGAAAATGCCTCGGGGTGGGGGAAGGTGGGGGTGGTGCCTGGGGGGGCTCAGTCAGTTACACAGCCGACTCTTGATTTCAGCTCAGGTCATGTTCTCTCACAGTTCATGGGATCGAACCCCAGGTTGGGCTCTGTGCAGGTAGCTTGGAGCCTGCTTGGGACTCTCTCTCTCTCTCTCTCTCTCTCTCTCTCTCTCTGCCCCTCCCCTGCTCATGCTCTCTCTCCAAATAAATAAATGAATATTTAAAAAAAGAAGAAGAAAAGAAAAGAAAATGCATCAGAAGGCTGCCCTGCACATTTGTAAAATTCCCCACACTTCTCCCTTCTTGCCCCCCGGTGATGTCTGCGACATGCTGGTCTGTCCACCAGTATCTCAGGAGAACTTTGTGGGGATGACAGCTCCCAGCCTCCAAAAAAACGAACCTCTATTTGTTGTGCAGGAAGCACCCTAAGACCTGGAAGCATCTGTCCGACGCAGCATGGAATTGGCAGGTCCTCTTGGGAGATGGGTAGGAAGGTAGTCCCACCGTGTGGGTGGCAGAGCCCTTTCCGGGTTACGGCACGAGCACTGGGGAGGTCCCTCCAGCTGCTGAAGGGACTGGGAGAAGGAGGAAGTAGTCAAGGCGAATCGCCACGGTGCTGAGGCCGGACTCCGGGTGCTTGGCCAATCCGGTCTCTAGATCCCTGTGTCAGGCATCTTGAGATCATGTTGTGTTTTATAAATACAGTTTTGAGGCACCACTAGACAGTTAGGGAGGAGACTTGGTCAACTCTCAAGCTATAGTATTGTCGTGATGTCAACGTCACCAACTTCACAGCTTTGATATTTGTGCTGATTCATAGTTTAACAATCATGAGGAAATGCCCTTGATTTTTAGACATCCTGAAGGAAAGGAGTATCGTGTCTACAAGTTCTCACAGAGTTTCTAAGAGATCGGAAAACATGCGGAGAGGGAGAAGCATGTGGTGAGGTGTCAACACGTGTGTCTGGGTGAAGGTATGCAGGAATTCCTTGTACTCTTTCTGTATGTTTGCAATTATTTCTAAATAAAGGGATTTTAAAGATTGAGGCAACTCAAATACTTCTTCAAAGGAAGTCCATATTTATGAGTTTGATACGCGCCATCCAGCGTGTCTAGGAGGAAGAGGATGCTAACCAAAGAGCAACACAGCCAGCTACTCAGGCAGCCCCGGGCCGTGCGCCAGGGAAAGCCATTCAGCTGAGGCAACAGGGAAGCGGGGTCGCAGCTGGCGCTACATCCCCTCCGGGAAGGTGAAAACAGGAAGAAAGTACAACGGGAAAGAGGAAGGATGGGATGGGAAGATTCTCTGGTACGGCTCAGGTCATGATCTCACAGTGGCTCGTGGGTTCGAGCCCCGAGTCCGGCTCCATGCTGGCAGGAAGGGGCCTGTTTGAGATTCTCTCTTTCCCTCTCTCTGGGCCCCTCCCTCATGAGCATTCTCTCTCTCTTTCTGTCTCTAACTTTCTCTCTCTCTCTCAAAATAAATAAACTTAAAAAAAAAAATTCTCTGGTAAAAATCAGGCCTCTTCCAACTATGCCTGCCCTTCCACATGGGGCCTGTGTATCATGACTGGGCTAGGTGGTGCTCAAATGGGACACTGAAGGTGGACGGGGGATCACAAGGCCACTGCAGGACAATGAAACAGAATCACAGTGTCACACATCTTGAGATCATGAATGTTTTGCTTTCTAAGTACAGTTTTAAGGAATCACTAAATAGTTGAGAAAAAGGACTTGGTCCAAAATATCAGCTTCAAAAACTTCATGACATTGTATTTGGCAATGATTGTTTGCAGATGACACCAAAAGCATAGGCAACAAGAGATGGAAAATCGATACATTAGACTACATCAAAACGGAAAACATTTGTGCATCAA